AATCTACAACTGAGAAGGATATGTCAGGCATGATGTCACTTTTCAGTACTGATTTAGATAAATACCTTGAAGAAAAGCCAGCGGTAAAACAAGGACACATGGAGGAGGACAAGGTAGAGGAGAGCTGCACAGAAATAATACTGACGAATCAAGATTCAGAAGACAGGATTGGGGAAGATACTAGTGGAAACTTGCAGAAAGAGCACCAACAATCTACAAATGAGAAGGATATGCCAGGCATGATGGTACTACTCACTAGTGACTTAGATGAATACCTCAAAGAAAGGCCTGTAACAATACACAGTAAAGCAGATGCAAAGCTTGTCCATGAGGACTGCATAGAAGTTGTACTCCAAAATGAAAATGAATTGGACCAGATGAGAGAAGAGGGAGAGCCACAGACCAAATTTGATGAAGCTCAAGACCAAACTCCTAGTTCAGAATCTCAGACTACATGTGACCAGCAGACACACTCTGATGAAGGTGATAGAGCCCCATCCAAGCAAAGTGATGCATTCACCTCCTCAAGAGCTACAGAACCTTTCACTGACTCTACTATGAGGACAGCCAATATTACAAAGTCCTATCCAACAATATCTGGTAGAGAAAATGATCCTGAAGATGTTACGGTAGATTATTCTAAGGTAATTATTAAAACCATGGATTTTTTGCAAATACCAAGCAGTTCTAATGCACCACAACGCCCAGTTGATCTTGAGAACCTTAATACTTTGGTGTTTGATGACTCAGATAAAGACTTATACCATCGAGACTCATTGGAAGCAAGTCCTCTTATGGAGGATAGATCTTCAAACAAATCCCCAGATTCAATAGAGCCGAGCCCTACAAAAGAATCTCCATGTCAAGACTCTCTTGAAGGAAGTCCTATTCAATTGCACGAAGAAGAATATAGGATTCCTGCCAGGACAGCCGTGTACGAGGAATACACTTCCCAGCTCAAAGCATGCCTTGCTTATGACAAAAATGTTTTCACTGATGAATATGAGGAGATAGAACAAGAAGCCAATGTTGAGAACATCCAAGTGAACAATGAAACTGAAGAAGACAGGCCTTCCAATTTATTAGACAGAGAAGCTGAGAGCAAAATGTCTCCCATTAACTCAGATGACAGTGAGAATAGTCAAACCAAGAAACAAGTCACCCCAGAGGATGAGATGTTTAAAATGGCTGTAAAGATAAAAACATTTGAGGAGATGGATCAAGAATCCAAAATGATGAGACCCAAGTCGTTAGATGCCGCTTATCTGTCAGAGACAAGTGATGATGAAGATGATGATCCAAAATCAAGCAATCTGAGAGAGTCGTCCTCTAAGGAAACCCTACAAAACCAGCTACAATTTAGAACAACTCACTCAGTTGACAATTCAAAGTGTTTAACCAGTGGAGACAGTGTAGATTATTTGCCCCTGATGACAGAAATCGAAGCTGAAATTCACAAAGACGATGTAAAAGTGACTTCCCCAGTCACTGGTACACATTTTTCCTCCTGCTCTTTGACAGATGAGAACTATTCAGATGGAGAAAAACTAGTTAATTCAAGTTGTGTCATGGAACCCCAGGGTGTAGCATCTGAATCAAAACTTAACCATAACATGGGGTGTGGGTACCAGAACAATGAATACTTTAAGACCGTGGGTGAGGTTGTGGAACAAATGGATTATGGTTCTGTAGAGAGCCAAACCACACCTGAGAAAATGGTTGCTGAGACACCCAATAGTGCAAAAAGCCCTAATCCATTTCAATTCCAAGAGGGAAAACTATTTGAAATGACCAGAGGTGGAGCAATTGACATGACAAGAAGAACCTTTGATGAAGAAGTGGAAGGATACGCATTTTTTCCCATAGGGGAGTGCCCTGTTGATGGACCAGAAGAAAAAACGGAATTTCGGTCGATGTCTTTACGTTTGCAAAGCAGCACTTCTCTTGCAGGCACAAGTATTCAAGGGGCAACAAAATCCCAGCTTGTGCAAGGTAACGGTGACGTAATTGCAAGTGGCGAATCAGAAATTCGCACCAACACTTTGCTTGATAAATTGGACACTGAGAGACCAATAGATGTTGATCTTTCCTCCTCGAGTGCTATAAAAAGTTTGACAAATGTTCAAACAGAGATTGGAAGTCTTCAAACCCTTGGACTGGATTATCTTGACTCCACCATAGCAGACCTTCAATCAGACACATCAGCAGTTGCCCATTGGATGTCGTCTGAAAAGGAACGCGATTTTTCGGACTCCTCCCCTGATGACGATGAGCTTGAGGAAGATGACGATGACCAGTGCTCAGTCATAGAAAGGACCATTTCAGCAGCTCAGCCCGGCCTTTTAACACATGATAATGATTCACCCCCACCCAAGCCACTAAATCCAGCCCATGAAATTAGGGAAGAAAAAACAATGAAACAAGCAGGGGTATCAGAGCTTGATCAAACTGAAACAAAAGCGGAAAGACACTCAGCCGTGTGTCGTAGGACTAGATCTGAAGCTATTAATACAAATGAAGCCTGTTCTAAAGAATGTAGGAGTTATTCTGACAGTAGTCAACCAACTAATGTATCCATTATTTGCCCCTCTAAATCTACTGACATCATGAAAGAGAAACAGTTAGCTGTTATGACTTCTTTGAGCCCTCCTTCAAGGACAGACATTCAAATCTCTAGCACTTTAGAAACATCTGTTAGGTCCTCTTTGGAGACAGATGACATGAGTAGTGCTAGCCACTTGAGTCTAGATTCTGTCATCTTTACATATGACACTCAAGCCTCACACAGTTCAGATTCTGATGGCAGTCAGTTGCCAGTGGTGAATCCATCTGGTGGGACAGAGGATGTATTTGAATCTAGGCCTGCCTGGGATGACAAAGTCGAAACTCAGATGCAGAGAATCGTTGATGATCAAACTCCACAATGTACACCAGGTATGACCTGACCTATGTTGGCCTTTTCACTATCTCTGTTCCACTTCAGTGATCCTTTTTTCTCTTCTAAAAACAAAAATTTGCCATCAATACTTACTCAGTTAAATGTTTTTATGTTATGACTTATTAGTCACATTTTGTATTGTCTTTGTATTTTGTGTGCATCTGTGTTTTTGTTTGTGTCAGTGGGTTGTGGTGTTTTGCATTTTGGTGTGTGTCTTTTCCATGAGAGTTTGAACAAATGCAATCTCAAGATTGAATGCTCATGTTTGCTAAAGATTTAGTTTAAAATATTGAGTGCAAACAACTTTGTTTTGGTGTTACCAGTTCTGGTAATACAGCTTTATTAATATTAACCAGCAGATTGCAAGCACTAATATTGCATAGCTTATTAACAGCATAGCTTCAACTAATTATTAAAAGCATGGTGCACTTATTTTGTCAAAATAATAATTGTCCATAAGAAAATCAACTCCAACCTTTATGTTGTCATCCATGTCAACATTTCTGATTCACATTTAGTTTTCAGCCTATAGCATAGACTCCTTAGGAAATGATATTTTGCATCCATGTTTAGGTATATTTTACATAAGATGTCGTTGCAATATGTAAAAAACATTATATTGTTGATGGTATTTAACTCTACAAGCCTTTGGGCAAAATGTTTGAAGTACTTTGTGGCTATGATGGAATTTTTAGTTGATTGGCAGGATGATGCAGACAGGAAGGAAGAGACCATTACTATCATTGCTGATCTTCTTGGCTTCAGTTGGACTGGTAAGTTGTCATATTGCTAAAAGTATCTAAGTTATTCATTGTTTTTACCTGAAATTTCAAATGCTTAATGCCTTAAAAACTTTTTCTTAATATCAACCTGCTCTCAGAGAAGCATTGTTAACCCCATCGCGAAAGCAAAAGACACAATAGGCTGTGTATTGTTTTGTTTCTGCCATAAGTTCCCTTCTTTTCTATCACTTCAGAGTTGGCTAGGGAACTTGAATTCAATGACGAGGATATTCGGCTGGTGAGATCAGAGAATCCTAATTCTCTGCAAGAGCAAAGCCATGCCTTGCTGCAGCGCTGGGTTGACAGAGAAGGCAAACATGCTACAGGTACTTTGCAGTTGTTCCTGACAAGTTCACATGAGATTTTCTGTCTGTTGTGTTCTTTAGGCTACAGAACAAAAATAAAAGGGTAAGCTAGTATATCAATAATTTCCCCCAAATTTTTCAAACAGACTTTTTTTTCTCTGGTCATATATCAGTACAAACATCTACATCACCACACATATTTGTTCATGTCATTGGAGCAAAGATAAAGCTGATTCTGCCTCTTTTTTAAATTGTCAACCTTTTGAGGCTGTGGAAAACTGGCAACATAATCTATGACTAAGATAGCTTGCAAAGAAAACCCCAGAATATGTATTAAACTCTGTGTAGTTTTTTTTTTTTTTTTTTTTGCCAGTCAGACCTGAAAGGGTTTTTATGTAGTTTCACAAAACATTTTCTATGGTTTGCATTTTTGGGTGATGGGCGATTAAAAACAGCGACCTCAACTATAAAAGTGTGCATTTAAATTGCTGCTGGCTCTTTACTTGGGTCCTTCCAAACTATTGTGACAGGAAAACGTGGCAATGTTGGAAAGCTGAGAAAGAAAAACCTTACTCTGAATGTCAATTCTTAAATTTAAAATTCTGTTTCACTTTTAACCTCATTTATTGTGCTGGTAAAATTGAATTAATTTTATTCTAATTTGAAGTGATTATCTTTTCACAGAGGACAGTCTGATTAAGAGACTAACTAAGATCAACCGCATGGACATAGTGCATCTCATTGAAACCCAGATTAACAAGTCTGTTCAAGAGCAGACATCCAGGACTTATGCAGAGATAGAGAAGACCCTGGATCACAGTGAAGGTAGTAGAACCCACTGAAAGCTTGATCCGACCCCATTCCCAGCTGAGTCTTTGTTTGTGCTCTGACTGAATGTGTCTCTCGTTTAGTGTCAGTAGCCCTATCTTCAGTGCAAGAAGACGCAGACAGCCCCAGAATAGTGAGAAGGGTTGAGTCCGATCGCCGACCGCCTCCTGCTGTCTCTGAAGAAGACCTCTCGGTTGCTTCCCTGCTCGATATTCCTTCCTGGGCGGAGCCTGTGGGAAACATCCACTCAGAGAGCATGCACGGAGACCTGTCAGAGGAGCTCGAGATCCCACAGTAAACATATTTGATTTTTACTCTTGATTTATCCAGCTAGCGTGCTTTCTTTAAAACCCCATAAATTTAATGCATAATTTCTAATAACCCATGTAATAACCCATCCATCCATTATCTATACTGCTATTCCGAGTACGATTCTGAGGGGGCTGGAGCCATTTCCAGTTGAAAACAGGATACACCCTGGACACATTGCTAGTCCATCACAGGGCCTCACATAGACAAACACCCACACACACTCACATTCACTCCTTGGGGCAATTTAGACTGTTCAATTCACCTAACATGTATGTTTTTGGACAGTGGGAGGAAACCAGAGTACATGATGCAAACCCACGCAGAAATGTCCCCCAGGGATTCCAACCGATGCTAACCACCACACGACCATGCCGCCCCATAATTAGCCATAAATCATATGTAAAACCACTTACATCATAAGTTGGTCTTCATTACTGACAACTTCGTTAGTATTCAGTTTTATTTTTCAACATTTCTGATATGAAGTCTGATACAAAATCAAGAGACTGAGTTGTGTATGACCCAGTAGGTAATTGTTTGGTACATGCTTGCAAACATTAAACCAGTTTTGAAATGATAATTAGTGTCTGGCAAAATCGAAATGGGGCACGGTTTGCCCATCATACAAAGTTTAAGAATTGTGTCATGTTGAAAACAAAGTTGGTTTGAGGGCAAGTGTTAGGAACAGTTGGAGGCAATGAAGCTCACCTTGTTGCAGACAAATGCAGAGGGAAATGTGGAGACAGTGGCGAGGAGGGGTCTAATTGCTTAAGTTGTTTTTGCTATTCAAAAATGAAAATTGAAATGTCACCAAATCCTACTTTATCATAACAAATTCATGTTTTTCTTTCCATAGTGAGCTGAACTCTCAACTCTGGCTGTCTGAGGATGCGACGCCACAAGAACCTCAGGGTCACAACGTCTCAGAGGCGCAAGTAAGTACGCCACCCTTTTCAAAAGAAGCAGGAGCGACCCAGATTTATGACCCCAAAGTGAAACACCAGCCAGCCTTCAGCCGTTTCCTCAGGTTGTCCCAAGGCGTCCCTCCAGTAAAAGTCAAAGATGACGGCAGCCAAACCTTGCCAAAGATGCAGTTTGTTTATCAAGATAAACAAGGCCAGTCACCTGGAATTCCTATGCATCAATCAGCCATATCTATCAGAGACTTTAGTCTGAGTCTGTCAGAGTCAGACAAAGCTGAAACTGACTTCAGTGAGCTTTGTGTTGAGTTCAGCTGTACACCTCAGCTTGGCAAAGCACAGGCGGCCAAAACCAGTGCTAAGAGACTTTATGAGCCGAATCTGTCAGCCGTGGCGCCAGAGGTCCACCACCCAACTCTTGCGATAACTGAAGATGACACAGATGTTGCACAAAAGAGCAGACACTCTGACAGGAGTGCCGGAGTGGCTACAGACAATTTCTGCCAAGTGCAGCGTGGTCACCACGAGACTCCGCACGTGTCAGACGTAAAAGTGGAATTCAAATCTCACAGATCAAGCCAGGAAGACAGCACAAAAACCAAAGTACAAAAGGATGGGCACATACCATTCATTGACGACACCGATGATACACAGCCTGCTGAATCCAGTGGGGCGACTGCCAAGTACAGCATGGTGAAACCAAACAAAACGTCACATAGTAGGACCAAACACGGTCCTGTTGGTATGGTTTGTGACTCAACCGATAGGTCTTGCAGTTGGTGTTGTTTTAGTGCAGACAGTGATAAAGTCATAGCTGAGGCACGATCACCTTACATCCCTGAGCCAAAGAGTGGCACCTCAGGCGTTTTCAGCCATCTCACGCCACAAGATGGGTATAAGACGGCTGAAACATCAGCTTCTGCTTTTACCGCGTACCGCCCTTTGGCGGGGGATTCTTTAAAGCTTGAGAAACGCCACGTTTCACTTTCACCTGCTAATGAAAGCAACGTCTTCCCAGCAGATGCATGGATATCAAATATCTATACCTCTAGACTGTCGTCTCCTGAATCTGTCATGTCGGTCAGTGATTATAGAGCAATGTCACCCGATTCTCCTCTGGGTAAAAAAAGGCTTTTACCTGCAGATTTTTCCAGTCTGTCAGAAGACTGTCGGGCACTTTCACCATTGTCTGACGGATGCATTTCACCAGAGGTTACACTAAATTTCAATGACAACAAACTGAATCCGTTTCTAGCCCATACAGATGAACACAAACAACTGCCTGATCTGAAAGCTTTTACCATCCCTGTAATTTCACACCCCAATTCCTCTGATTTCTCTGAGTCTTGGGGTGTGTGTAGACCAATGCCCACTGACTCTCAAGTACCTAAAATCAGTCAAACTGTGCCTGAAGTTAGACTTATAAAGAAAGAGCATGGAACATTCTCACCTGTGATATCAGAATATGAATGTGAGAACATTTTTAGCAGAAGAGCATTTTCGCCCGAGTTACTTACAGCTAATTATGGATTAGAATGGGATGGTCGTCCATTCTCACCAGAATCCCAGTCCTCTCAGTGTAGTTACTCATTTCTTGAGCTCTTGTACTCAGAAGCAACCCGCAGCCAGCTTAGGCAACAATACTGTGATTATTTCTTGTTGTATTCTGGAGGAATATCATCGTCACCACCGCTTGTACCTGATTCTTCCACTGCAGTATTTGGAGATGAGGTAAAAACTGGAAGCTCTTTGATTAGAGAGCAAGGACCTTCTTATTACACTGCTCTAAAAACTCCGGACTCCATATCTGATATCCACTTTACAGATTGTGTTGATATGCAAAATTCAGAGGAAAGACAAACTGATGACTCAACAGAAAATAATCCCCGACCCCATGAAGATTCCACTATTTTCTTAAATGCAGTAACTTCTAAAACCAGAAAAAATGGAAATGAAAGAAGTCAGTCCTACATTAATTACTGGTATTCTAAATTTGTGCCACAATCATCAAAAGATATGGCATCTCCAAAAGAAATGGAGGATGACTTAGAATATACACAACAAAATAGTTTGGAAGACTCCTGTTTGGATGACTTATCCGATAAAAACTCTTACTCAGATTGTAACCAATACAAAACATCAAACAGACCTATGGTCTTTAACTTTGCTGAAAGACCAAACTATGTTTTTAGTTTCCACAATGAAATTGCTCCAGTATCACAAAGACAACTATTATCCCCAGAAAACATGGAATTAAAGGGTGAGGAAACACCCATAGGAGGTGGTAAAAACATGGAGAACATTTCAGTCAGACATGAAAACTTACATGCTTCAAGTTCTGACTCTAAGAATAAATGTTCAGCTGTTACGACATCCCCTCTAATTTCTGCTAACAGACCTCTGACGTATGCAGATGTTGTGCGAGGACTTTCACATGTAACACAAAAAGAAAAAATTCCAAACATCCTATCCTCTGAATCTCGTGATATTTATCCTCCTTCGGGATCATCAGAAGAAGAGTGTGGATTCTCCTTGATAGATGATTGCTTGTTTGACTTCAGACCACATTCTCCAGAGTCAGTGGACTCTCACAGTAAACTCAGACCCCTCTCTCCTGACTCACCTGTTCCTCAGTTCACATGTACTCATATTGACTGTAGTGTGGAAGTGTCAGGACACAGGTCATTTACACCAGAATCTGCATTATCAGACTGGGAAGAGGCATACTTGTGTCTGGACATCCTTTTTGAGGATGACAGACCAGTATCTCCACAGTCAGTGTTATCAGACCTTCAGCTGGAAAAGCTCTTTAGCAACAGGGCATTGTCTCCAGAATCAATTTCCTCTGATTTGGACTTTTCTCTTTTGAATGACTGGCTGGCAGATTTCAGAGCCTCCTCCCCAGAATCGGTGGCAGCAGAGGACCATCAGACTTTATTTCCTCACATGACATTTGCACAGAGAAATACTCAGCACTGTAACTATTTCTTAAGATATTGTGAAGATAGGCCAACAT